TATACACAACTAATGGACTTCGCATGGTAAGGCGATACGAGCCCGATGCACTACTTGATCACGTAATAAAAACCATGCAGAAGCGGCAAGTTGATTCATCCATAAGACAATACTACTACAGTTTGGAGTCTTCGGACGGTTTCCGTTGTTGACTACGTATGACCTTCTGTGCTGCCTGGGGTGGTCGTATAGACTTATCCTCATCGAACATGAGTAAGTTGTATCTGTAGTAGGGGTAATAAGAGCAGCATAACATTGCAGAGTACACTACTTGCTCATTGCGAGCTGTACAACGTTGATGAGATGGCCCATGGTTAAGCCGTTGAAGAACGGAAGCTTCCGAGCCTCCAACGCATGGGCGCAAGAATATCTCCCCTTAGGGAATATATACCTAAAACACACCGTAGAGGCATACGGCTCAATCATAATGGCATCCTACAGATCTCTGCGGCCGTTCTGCAAGGCTTCATCGAGATATAGTCTAAACGCATCCCACATGGCTTTATCATAGATATCACCAGCGTGTGGGCTTACGAAATAGAAGCTTCCTGAGAACAAGGAGGGGTTAGGGAAAACGTGAGGCCCCTTTCTCCTACCATCAAACGCTGGAGAGACAACAGGCGTCTCGCGGAAGAGAACGCAACAGTTTTGGCCGCTCTTCGTTATTCGAGCAAAGACAACCTGAAGGAAGAGACCCTATAGCTCAAGATGGATAGAGGATTGCCAACCTCCAATGCCACGGCATCTGGTGGAGCATGATCTACTATAAGTGGGAAAGGGTTGGCTTCTCGATAGGTATGTGTGACTTGCGGATCAGCAATGACTGCATATCTAGAACATGTACACCATGCAACAATCAGGAGATATCGTAACTAGAAGGGTTCAAGGCCGGAGGGTATAGGAACGCCGATCCCACGACGTTCAGCTTACTTCGCCGCTTGGGAAGGTGCCGCATAATACTGTATCATCCTGGTCAAGCTCTTCTCCAAGGAAGGGGAGCTGACCCATGTATTCTTCCTGTTACTACTGAAGCCAGTGAGATGATGAGAGCCCGCGTTGCTCAGAACTATTTCCGCCACCCGATGCTTGATATTATGCAACTGAGAAAAATGTAAGGAGTGACTGATTGGGACTGTCTTCAGTCGAACTAC